TGGGAACCCAGCGAGGAGGCTCAAGCCAAGATCGACCGGATGGAAGCTCGTGAGGCAGCAGCACAACAGGATGACACGGAGGTACCGGACGCCAACGCTGCACCGGATCTCGTTTTGCCTTCGACTCGTCGTCCCAAGCGCAGGGCTAGTTCAGTGTCATCTCAATCGGATTCAGCCACCACTGGATCTGGCAAGGAACGCAAGAAGTCTCGACCTGGTGATGAACGCAAGAAGTCTCCACTCGCTCGCAAGGAGATGAAAGATCTTACTCCTGAAGAGCTGACCGTGATCGAGGAACCGGGTCGAGGCATCACTTCGTGGTACCACAAGGGCATCCTGACCACTTTTGCACCCAGTACGACTTACGCCGTCTACCAGTCCGCAGGTTTCCCTGACTACGCACCGAACCACAACGGCGGGACGGGGCCACTCAAGGATCGCTTCAATGTGGACGAGTACCGGGCGATCATGGAGACCCGACCGGGCGAGCGGATGTACAAACGTCGTGTCATCAACCTCCTCTTCCACAAGCGTTACGCCTTGGGAGTGAAGGTCCACGTCGTGCTGACCAAGATCGTGAAGTTCATGAAGGACAACGCGCTGGTCATCTGGTACGCGGGACACTGGGTGACGTATCCAGAGGACTCGTCGTATGGGGTGAAGGAGAAAAAGAAACGCAAGGGTCTGCATGATCCTGTCATCAAGAAATACGCCGAGTTGATCACCGAACTTCTGAAAGCAGGAGCCCCGAAGACGATTCTGTACGAGCCGGGCATCTGGGTATATCCTGCGAAGGTCTGTCCCTGGATCCTGTTTGACAAGTCCGAGAAGAAACCGGATGGGAAGCCGTACACGATGGCCGAGCAGCTCGAAATCCTGGATCGCGAAGAACCGGCTCGCATCCAGTGGACAGGGTGGACCCTCGATAGGATCATCGCGGATCGTCCGGCGCACATCCGGAAAATGCTGCTGTCTCCCGATGAGCGTGCCAACAACTGGGTCTGCGCTGATCACCGTAGCTAGTTGCACACTCGGTGTAGCCACAAGCTAATCTCCACAATTTCATGTCATTCACGTTCATCACCTCACTTCTTCGTCTTAGTCTTATGTCATTCGGTCCGTCATTCTGTCGCTCACTCCATTCAGGGGCACAGTCACTGGTCGATTCAGTCGGTATCTTCATTTTTCCACTACTCCACTCGAATTCTCCACAAATTCAGCGTCGACGGTTCACAATCAGAATCACATTCAGTTTCAGTCAGGTCACACGTCGGCGGTCAGGATCGAGTGTTCAATCCGGTACTAGACACTGGGGTGGTCATCACCAGCCTGCATAGACTGGAACCTGGCCTTAGCACGGGCACTCTGATTGAATTCATACAGAAGCGCACCACAATTGAGCCTGGTCACTGGTAACCACTCAGGATCGTCGTATCCATTCCACTTGATCAGGTACTCGCGGAATCTCGTGGAAGTACGAGTCCGCTTGGCCCACCGGAGGTCCAGAATCTTTTCCACTTCGTACTCATCATTCTGTTCGTCCGGCTCCCAGCTGTCCTCGGGCAGCAGGGCTGCATCGAAATCGTCGTCATCACCCAGATCGAGTTCCGCGGTAGGTTGCTTCGGAAACAGAGCGCGAGGCTTGAGGCGGCTGATGTGTACCCAGGGGTTAACACGATATCCTGTGTCCTCCACCTTGAGTTTCACTCTGAAGTCATCGTGTACCTCTTCGATCCTGAACGGCCCATGCCACATGTGAGCCAGCTTGCGGCTCAATCCGGTCTGGACTTTCGGGATGTAGACCCATACCGAATCACCCTTCTCAAATCCTGTCTTCAGCCTCTCGGACAATTGTCTCCACTTGCGTGTCTGTTCTTCCAATCGTGTTCGCTTCGCTTGTCTCTGGAGGTCCTCGGCACAGGCTATTGCGTAGCTGTAGTCGCGCTGAAATTTCCGACGCCACTCGTACGCAGTGCGTTCAGGCACACTGGATGGTTTCGGTCCTAACATCGCCGACACCGTGCCTTGCGCATCCCAACCGTGTACCAGATAGAATGGAGTGTCCAATCGGGTCGCGTCGAACGAGGTGTTGAGGGCGAACATCAGTCGCTCAGCGTGATCGTCCCAGTCAGACTGGTCAGACTCAGCGATGTAAGCGCGGACGCTCCGGATGACGGTCTGCACCGAACGTTCCTGTTGGCCGTTCGCTTGAGAACGATATGCCAACGTGGCGCGCTGACGACTGCCGAGTAGCTCCCGAAACCGAGTGAAGACCTCACTCATGAAACGTGGGTCTTGATCGTGTCTGATCATCGACGACGCACCGAAATTGCGGAAGATTCGCTCTTCATAGGCCTCTGCTACATCCTGTGCCGTAGTAGACGACATGGGTTTACACATCACGTAACCAGAGAATGAATCCTGCAAAAGCAGTAGGAAGGTGTTCCCTCGTGCCAACTTGGGCATGTGCGTCACAAAATCCATCGACACAACTTCAAACGGGCGCCTGGGCTTGATGTTACCAGGTGACGGTCCAGGGTTGGGAGGTCGCCCCTTTCCACTTGCACAGTCAACGCACTCCTTCACGAAACGTTCCACGTCGGCATACGTGCCGGGCCAGTAGAACTCGGAGCGTAACCGCTCGTGGGTGCGGGTAATTCCCTGGTGTCCACCTTGAAAGTCTTCGTGAGTGTAATGCAGCAAGTCAGCATGCAGGGTTTGTGGCACCACAAGACGTGGCTCATCCTGTACGTCCCGAGGTCGATCTCGAGTAGACCGCGCGAGTCGATACAGGATGCCTCTGGCATCCAGTGCAAACAAGTCCGAGAGCTTCGCGATCTTGCGAAGCCGCCTCGGAGAGAATCGATCCAGGTCGCCACTCAGATACGCTCTGACTTCCGAAATGAACTCATCCTGATCTTGGTGTGCCTTAATCCTGCGCCACCTCTCGGCTTGGAACTCCAACGGACCCAATGGGCCACTTGACTCTGTCTGTTCCTGTGTTTTCGATCTGGTCAGGACCGCCATGACTCGAGCACAGTGAGGTAACGGAGCAGAACCGGGGTCCTGTTCGACATCGTCTGGTGACCCCACATCCGGTGCCACCACCTTCTTCGCAGCCGATCCATCTGGTGCATCCTGAACTCCCTCACTCACATCCTGCGCCACAACCACTGGCTTCATCAGCTTTTCGTGGATCTTTGACACTCGCTGCAGATGGATTCGTTCCTCCTCATCATAGACAGTCCACGTGATACCCAGCGCCAGCGTCTTGGAGGTCAGGTAGTCCGCGGCCGAATTGTATTCACGTTTCACATGAACGAGCCGAAGCGTACTGAATCGTCCTTCCAGAGTTTTGCACCGAGCCAGATGTCGTTGAAGGTTGGGTTGGTTGCAGTTAATCAGCCCTTGGACTTGTTGTATCACAATGCGAGAGTCTCCAACCACGATCAGGTCTTGAACGCCCCGATCCAGTGCCATGGTCAGTCCATTCAGTAAGCCGTGATATTCTGCATCGTTCACAGTGACATCACTCAGGATGAAACCTTGTGCATCCAGTACGCTCCAACCAGGCAGGCTCCACAGGATGCATCCGCAGCTTCCTTGGCGAGTCGACGTCTTGGCTGCTCCATCGAAGCTTAACACAATCCCCTTAAAGTCAGCGTCCAACATCTCCATGCTCACCACCGGTGGTGGCTTGACCCGCCCCTTGGCTGGAATCAGCGACTCTGCGATCCGGTCCAAGTGCTCTCGGGGGGTGATACCCGCACCGAGTATAGCGGCTAGACCGTCTTCATCTCGCTGAATTCGGCGAACTTCCAGGTCCCACTGGGAAAGAGTGACGCCCCATGGTACGCAACGTCCATCCGCTGACTTGGACTGAATCACCCATTTGAGTACCGAATAGCGGGTGTACACGATTATCGAACATCCTTCCAGGATCGTCCTGAATACATCCAGTACTCTGATGATCGTGATGACTTCCTTCTCCGCAACGTGATATCGGACTTCCGACTCATTCAGTACACGCCCCGTGAAACGGACGGGCTGAATCAGTCCGTCATGCTCTTGACCGAGGACTGCACAGGCTGCCCACTGGTTCGCGTGAGGAATGATGACGAACGGCTTGGTCCGGTCCGGATGACGTAGCAATGGGGTTGACAGGATCTTCCGCTTCAGGATCTCGAACGCTTCCTTCGCCCTCGACAAGTCCCTACCGGATCACACTTGGTCGTCGCTCAGCTCGTACAGGACTGCAGCTACCACCGGGAAATCCTCTATGAACTTGTGGTAGTAGTTCAGACTGCCGAGGAAGGACTGGACCCCCTTCAGAGTAGACGGGAATGGTAGATCCAGTACGCCCTTAGCGATCTTCGGCGTCGCCCTGAGTCCTTCTGCACTGATCTCATGAGAGAGATACGGGATCAAGCGCTTACCGAATTCACTCTTCGGTCGACTGACAGAGATGTTCCAATACCGCAACCGAAACAGTAGCGCATCCAGATCGATGCAAAGTTGATCCCACGTAGGCGCCCCATGCGCGATGTCGTCAATGTACGAGCTCCGTCCTACGACAGGGCCCATCTGCATCGGCGCCGGGATGTTACGTTGGAACACAGTCGTCTGGTCTGTCAGCGCGGGTAGACGTCGGTCAGACAGGATTTCGTCGTCCGATCCGGCGTCGCTCCCTGCGACGTTGTCCTCTTGCGGCTTCAAACCCAGATAATCCACTACGTCCTGATCCACCTGAGCTTCCTTACCAGGTGGTAGTCGAACAAAGCCCCACAGACAGTTGTTGATCATCTGCTGGTACACCAGCGGAGCATTCTTCAGACCAAATGGCATGCGTCGCCACTGGTAGTGACCGAATGGCGACACGAACGCCGAGATGAGCTTGGCTCGCTCCGTCATCCTGATCGCCCAGAAGCCGCTGGCCATGTCCAGACTCATAAACCACATCGCGCTCTCGAACCCGATTAGCAGGTCGTCAATGAGCGGGAGAGGATAGCTGGACAACTGGATGAACCCGTTCACGATCCGGTAATCAATGCACATCCGGATGTCGACCCCGTTCTTCTTCAGTACGATCACGATCGGTGACGCCAGTAGTATATACTGGAACATTTCGTGTACGTTTTTTTTTCCAACGTTTCTCACACAACCCTAGAGACCGTTCTATACCCTCTCAGATCAACAAACCTATTCCACACGCCCTTTCCACAAAACACAACCAAGCCGACTTTCCTATGTCCTCATTAAAAACAAGCATTTTTGAAGCAATTTCCAACACCAAAAATTTGCGAAGGTTCGGGGCATAGCTGAGAGACACAGAAATATCTGGATTAGAGTATTTATTTTTTTATTGTTTTCTTCATTTTGTTTATATACGTACAAAAAATTTCTATCTTGATATTTCTTTTATAGATATATACGTACGATTTTTTAAATTTATCATTTCAAATTTCTCAACCAATATATAAGAAAAAAATGGCGAAGTCTTCGGATGCATTTAATCAACTTCTGAAACTAAAGATTCCATTAAAAGCTTGGGGAGACTCTTATCGAGTTAAGATCCGTAATAAAAATGGGCGCGTTGTGTACATCAATAATATTCTCAAGCCATCTAACATCAAATTGATTTCGAGATACTATAAAATTAATGAAGATAAGATCAAAACCAACTTGTCAAACACGCGCATTAGTAAACCAACTTATAAAGCATCAAAGACCAAGTTCGTTGAATCTCATCTTTATGGAAATATCTCTCAACGGTCATTCTTTACCAAACTTGAAAATGTTTTGGCTCATCAAGACAAGGCATTTAAAGTTAATATTCAATTAGGATACAAGCTAATCGATGAACGCTTTGAAGAACCATTTGATTACGAGTATCGACCCCAATCCAATACATCTATATTCGATCAACCGATCGCAATTAACTCTAGGAAAGATATTAGATCGAAGGTTATTGATCATATTAAATCAAAAGATTTCACTACTAAAATCTCTACTCCGAGAAGCGGAGTTAAACTTCAGGAGATTAACGCTTTTAAGATCATGATCTACTACAGAAATCATTCTCTTGGTGATAGTGAAGTAGTTGTTCCGAAAGCAATAACGGATAATCGACACATTTTAAACTTTCCTAAAACAGAAAACAAATGCATGTTCCACTGTATTGCATACCATTTACAAGACGAGCCTAAGAAAGACTATCGACGTATCACAGCCGCAGTAAAACATCGATTCAAACAGTATTGTGAATTTAAGAAAATTAACTATTCTGTAGATACATATAAAGCATTTAAGCCAATTGATATCTATCAGTTCGATGACTTTGAGGAGTGTTTCAAAGTTAATATTGATGTGTTTGAAATGGATATAGAAACGTCAGAAGTGTCTAAAATAAGAGCTTCAGAAAAAAAATTCGAGACAACTATTAACATTATGGATTACAACGGACACGCAATGTATATTACTGATATTGATAAAGCTATGGCCAAATATGTTTGCCCAAAATGTGAAATGGTTTTTGGATGTGCTACTAAACTAAAGAATCATAAGAAAAATAAGTGCGAATCCTAAACATTAGAAGCTTTTCCCCCTAACCCAACACTATACCGACCAGCAGACAACAAAATCAAATCGTTATATGCCAAATATGGTTTAAAGACTCAAGACTTTTACCTTGACCATTTTATCGTATATGATTTTGAAGCAATCCTTAAACCACTCGATGGAAACAAGATTTGTAAAATCGAAGATTGCTCAAAAACGGCAATTTATGGAACTGGTAACGCAAAATCACCAACCCGTTGTCTTGAACACAAAACAAGGCCAATGATTTTAATCGAAAACAAAACAGTTCTAACAAATGAACATCAAGCTGTGAGTGTATCAATCTGCAATAGCTTGACTGGGGAAGTTAGATGTTTTATCAATGAAGATCCACATCAGCTAGTATCGGTAATGTTTGAGTACATCAATTCGATCGCTGATAAGATTATTGATTACAACAAAAACAAGTTCCAAATCCTCTACGAGAAGTTGAACAAACGCTCAGAGAAACTAGATAAGAAGACACTTACCAAAGAACGTACAGCAATCGACGAATCTGTCAGTCAAGTTCCTCTACTTGGTTTCAATTCAGGAAAATATGATATCAACTTAATCAAAAAAGAGATTTTTGATGTAATCGGCTGCGATAACCTACGAATGGTAATCAAGAATCCTGGATATATGTGTATCGCTACTGATAAGCTGAAAATGCTTGACATTAGCAATTATATTACTGCAGGAACAAGCTATGATACATACCTAAAGACATACTTAGGCAAATGCCAATGTGAAGATAAGATTCGATGCACTTGTGAGTTGTCAAAAGGCAATTTCCCTTACGAATATATCACAACATTTGATAAGCTAAACGAAACTGGATTACCTCCAAGAGAAGCATTCGACTCGAAGCTGAGAAACACGAAGATCAGTGATGATGATTATGAACGTATGAAGTTTGTTTGGAACCATTATAATATGAATACCATTAGCGACTTACTTATTTGGTATAACAACCTTGATGTAGCTCCATTTGTAAAAGCAATCAAGATTCAGCGTGAATTCTATCGAGGCTATGGATTAGACATTTTCACGGATGGCGTCTCTCTTCCGGGTCTCGCTGAAAAGATTTCATACCAAACACTTTACAAAGATTTAAAGCTACCTAACCAAACACCGGGTAAAGCATTCAAGTTTCCTAACCATCGCTATAAAGGATACAAGAAGCAAGATGCTGAATCCAATCGCGAATTTGACTTGGCAATTGATCATCTCAACCATCTATTAGCCAAGCGAAAATATATGTGTTCGTATTGCAATTGTCAATTGAATGAGTCGAACGTATCTGCTGACCGTGTCAATAACAACAAAGGCCATATCAATGGCAATATCAATATTAGTTGTATCAGTTGCAATGTAGCTCGTAAAGATATGTCAATCATTCGATTCAAAGACTACAAACTAACGGAAGCAAATGCGAATAAGCTTATCTGGTCCATTGATGAGGAACACAAAGACATTTTTTACAAAATGAAAGCAAACATTGCTGGAGGTCCATCGATAATTTTCAATCGTTACGCTGAAGCAAATGAAACATTCATCAGACATAACAAATCGAAGCTTGTGAAGAAGATAATTGGTTATGACGCCAATGCTCTATACTTATGGGCTGCAGGAAACTCGATGCCTTGTGGTCGCTTAACTACTATTGAAGCATATGATGGTATTATGGATGACATCATGAATGATAAACAATTTGGATTCCTGGAATGTGATATTGAAACTCCAGCGCATTTGAAAGAGTATTTCAGTGAGATGACACCAATTTTCAAGAACATTGAAATTAATCCTTGTGATGAATCAGTCATTGGTAGCCACATGTATGAATACAACAAGACTCAAAAAGATCGCAAGCGTACAGCATCTAGAAAACTTATTGGTAGCTATTTTGGTGAAAAGATTTTGGTCTATACACCGCTACTAAAATGGTACATTCAACACGGAATGGAAATCACCAAGACTTATTCATTCATCAAAGCATATGAGTCTCGACCATTTGAGAAGTTTATGAATGCTGTATCCGATGCTCGCCGGAAAGGTGATAAAAATCCTGATAGTAAAGTATTAGCTGAAACGATGAAGCTTGTTGGAAATAGTGGTCCATTTGGACGATCTGGCATGGATAAAACAAAGCATAAGGAAGTTAAGTATCAATCAGATGAAACTAAAATTTCTACTGCAATTGAGCATTTTAATTTCCATCACTTGGAACCAATCAGTGGAGACATTCACGAAATTACGAACAACAAGCGACGAATCCAAATGAATAATCCAATTCATATCTCAATTGCAATCTATCAACTTGCCAAACTCCGTATGCTACAATTTTACTATGATTGTATTGACTATTACTTCCATCGCTCTGACTTTCAGTATCAGGAAATGGATACCGATTCAGCCTACATTGCATTTACTGATGAACACCCATTTGAAAACCTTATCAAACCAGAACTTCGTAAGCACTATAAACTGCATCAATATGATTGGTTTCCTAGAGAGGATACTGAGGAAAATGCTGCATTCGATAGACGTGTTCCAGGTTTGTTCAAGGAAGAATGGAGAGGTAATGCTATTGTATCACTCGCAAGCAAGAACTATATTTGCTATGATGGTGATAAAGGTCATAAGCAAAAGGTGTCTGTGAAGGGTGTTCAACAATCTAATGGTAAGAATTCTGACATTCTAAACCCGAATGCATTCAAAAGCATCGTTGAAAAACGAATTACATTGTCTGCAACAAACAAAGGCTTCCGCATTGATAAACAAACGCAGAATATCATTACATACTCACAGGAGAAGGTAGGATTAAATTACTACTACGATAAGAGGAAGGTTTTGGAAGATGGTATTACAACGATTCCATTAGAAATCTAATCCCTAATATAAAGATGTCTGACTTACTACTCACCAAGCTCTACCACAACCCAAAGACTGGTTTCATATCAGCAAGCAAGCTATATCACAAAGCAAAAGCTATCGATCCAAGTATTACACTAAAACAGATAAAGGAATGGTATGCAAAACAATCTAATATACAAGAACATCAAGAAAAACGGAAGAAGGATGAATCATTCAAGATTGTTTCACACAATCCAAATAGCTGGCAAATGGACTTGGCTTTCTATAAGAACACTACATACTTAACCATTATCAATATCAATTCTCGTATTGGTTTTGCCAAGGTATTACCAAACAAGCAGGCATCATCGGTTCTTCATGCCCTAAAACAATTCGTGAAGACACACCACGTGAATATTATCACGTCTGACAATGGAAAAGAGTTTCTTAATAAACAAGTCTTGGACTTTTTCAAATCACAAAACATTGAGCACTTCAACAATGAACCAGGAGATCATAATACCCTTGGTAAAATTGAACGATTCAACCGCACAATAAAACAGAGACTCATCAAAATAAATCCAAAGAAATTGACTCAGAAGTTGCTTATGGATGTAATTGAAAACTATAATTTAACCGAGCACAGTGCAATCCACGCAACTCCAAATGAAATGAAAGGTGAGATTATCCAAAATGATCTAAAACATAACCAGCAAGTATTGGAGCAGGTATCGAGTGAATTCGAAATAGACGATAGCGTTCGATATCGACTTAAACCGAAGACATTTGGAAAGGAATCATCGAAATGGAGCAAAACAGTATATAAAGTAATTGGTATAGATGGATATCGGGTAGAAATCAAATCAAAGAACAATCATACACTTTACAAACCAGCAAGCGATTTAAAAGTTGTCCAAGCAGAACAAACCGAAGCACCTGTTGAAAAGAATCAAATCTGGGAAGTAGAAAAGCTTTTGGACCACAAGAAGGACGCAAATGGTAAAACTAAGTATCTAGTGAAATGGAAAGGATACGCAGACAGTGAAAACACCTGGGAGCCACAAGACAATCTCAGATTGATTAACAAGAACAGGATGTCAAATTTAGAGAAATTATACTTCAAATCCAAAAAATAACATCAATAATATAAAGATGACTTGTAAATTTATTACCAAAAAAGACACGCAATGCACCAGAGAAGCAAAAAAGGGTGATTACTGCACTCAGCACCATAACATCATCCAAATAAAAATGTATAAGAAGGAACTATCTATAATCCATAAGAAAAACAGAATACTGTCTGAGGAGAATAAGGAACTGCAAAAATATAAACATCAGATTAACACGATAAACGAATTTGACCTCATCAAACAACAATTGATTCAGATTAATCCTTATATGAAGTTTAAGTATCTAATTGTTGATAGACGATACCAATCTCGCTTGGAAGAAGTATTCAATGTTCCGTTTGATCAGATCGAAAAAAAATATCGAAAACTTCTATATGAAAGAAATGACTTGTGTCACCCCTACACTAGTAGATACTGGTGATTATTCAAAGTCTGAAACTTCCTCCACTCTTGCGCATAGACCGTAGCTTAGCCATCTTTGCTTTCATTTCAGGCGATCCCTTTTTACAGACGCCAACACCAGTAAGATTTTTTACTTCACCTCGAACAGCATTGACTAATCCTGGCTGTCCTGTATACGCTCCAAGAGCTTGAGCGCCTTGATCAACAACACCAGATACCAGTGGTTTAACTACAGGCCACACATTCTCTTTCAACCAAGGCCATGCTTTTTCCTTGATCCAGCTCCATAGCGACCCACCACTCAATCCAGATCCAGTAAGAGCGTCTCCGTCCATATTTAACGAAGCAGCGATTTCACCTGGTGAAAATACAATTGATACTCCTTTACCAGCTTGAGCAGCCTTTTTCCATTTTTTTGCGTTTTCTGGATGAAGTGCTAACTTCTTTGAGGAGCCTTTCACTTGAGAAGCAGTGAAAGATACTTTCAACGTCTTTAGAAACTTCTTTTTTTGAGCATCCGTGAGCTCATCACAACTGACCGAAACGTAAGAGTTCATATTTTAAATTCTTGCAAATGCTATATATTCCAGTAAATAAAGCCTATTAAAAAACTAAAATAAATGTAAAAGGCTACAACGCAAATGTCCTTGGTTTTTTAGAGCGACGCTCTGAAGCCCTAGGCGCAAGAGCAAGCTCTTTTGCCGTCAGGCTATTATTTTTCGTGGTGCCCAAGATTGCTCTCTGGGCTTCTATTATAGCTCGTTGTTGAACACCTGATCCTACAGCTTTTTTTTCGTGAAGTACAAGGTTGCTTAGAGTTTTCAATAACCTTTCTTGATTAATATGAGCAGCTGATTTAATAGATTTACCTCTAAGATTAGGATATCGCACTTTTATAATTTTCGAATTCATCTTATATTAAACAGAATCAAAAAGCTCGTCGAATCAATTTTAATTCTCTTTCCAAACGACGATTATCATTACCAAGACCACGAGCACCTTGAAGTTTATCAAATTCATGTTTTAAAATACTTCGACGTCCTTTAACGCCTGCAACACCAAAACCACTCATGGAGTCAATCGAGAGGGCTCTTTGAAATCGTTTTGGATCGACTGACTTTAGTGTAATACCCTCCGATACAAGACGGTCACCATATTTATCAACAATGTGGTTTAGAGCTCCAAGCCAATTAGCATTTTTATCAACACGACTCTTTATAGACGGACTAATTTCCTTCTGTTTCTTACTCATGATGGCTGCATATTCACCAAGGTAATATGTTTTCTTCCCAATCTTTGGCCCTTCAAGAAATACCTTCTCATCTGCTAACCAAGGGTTGTCGTTGTATAATCTGATAAGAATATCTTTCACTTGATTGTTACCATCTGAAATAACCTTGTCATTTGGATCCACTGGTTGAATATTGGTATTACTGTTTGCGAACGTATTTGATTCAGGATTTTTGAACATCGGTGATTGTTTGAATGATATGTTATTTTGCTTCAAAAATTTGATATACATATCAAGTGTCGATTCCCATGAGACTTGGCTGTTGGATTTTGCTCGATCGCCATCAAAAACTTTTAATTCACCATCAAATAGTTTTACTCGAAAACCTCCATTTACTGGAATATACCCACCGTGTTGGTTTCTTCCCTTCTTATATGGGATTGGTAATCTCGTTCCCTCAGGAAAGGTATTGTTCAACAAAATATCACGAAGCACTTCGTATGCTCCAGACTCAATGTTGAATCCAAACGGATGCGACGAACCAACGGCGGTATCTTCTGTCTCAATGTCAATAAGATTCAGTATGTAATCATACGTTGCAACCCAATCATAGTTATTTAGTGATTTGTTTGCTAACTTACCGTTATTTACATTGAAAAGTTTGCCATCTGTTCCAATATAGACGTTTTTATCTGGAGTGCCAGAATTTAGAATTGGATTGACCTTTCTTTTAATAATAGTTGGATTGATGGTGTATTGATCAATTATTTTTTCTCGGGCATTCTTTTGAAAGTTGAAATCGGTTGATTCAACTTGAGTTCCAAACTCATATGTACTTCGCGAATCATCAATATCACTTAATGAATCTTCCTCATCTCCAATGTCCTCTAAATCGTATTGACTGTCCATTGTTGTCATTTCCGGTACTGCCTGCATACCCATTGTCGTCATTGAAGGAGTTACTTGTGTTCCAATCGTTGTCATTGTTGGAGCTGCTTGCATCCCCATTGTTGTCATTGATGGAGCTGCTTGTACACCTGCTGAAGTCATTGTTGGAGCTACTTTCCTTAGCAATTGCTGAAGTTTCGAATTATCTATAGTTTGATCCAGATCAGTAGCCCATTGCGTTAGTTTGTATCGATCATTCTTAATGCGTGCTAATTGAAGCTCCTCACTGTTCTCCTCAGCGAGTTGCTTCAATTTATTTTTTCGATCGCGGAGAGATTTAAAACTTGGAAACATTAAATCGAAGATTGAGTGGCGCAAGACACGAAATCGAGATTTCTTAGTCTTACTAATTATCGAGTCTATATAATTACAATTATTGTTTTAGTTATTGAAAATAACTTGGGCTCCTATGGAGCCTTTCTATCACGAATTAATAGCATTATCAATGAATTGGGGTCTTCAAATTTAACATTGTTAAAGTCTTGATCGACGATGCTCAGAGTAATATTGCTGTATGCTCCATCGTTAATCGAGAGCCACTGATATTCAGGTGGCTGAATTGAGATCAACTGACCAATTGATGTTCCTTGAGGACTGAACGAAGTCAGAATATCAGGTGGTGTGCTAACCCGATTGTTAATAAGATTAGAACGAATTAAATAACTGCTGACGGGATTAATTTGTGGAGAGATATTGCTCAAAAATACTTGATTTGTTGTTTGAATACTTGATGGGTACGTTGCTGGACTGAATCCAATCACATTTGAAAATCCGTTGTTTGAAACAGTGATTCGAGGAGTATTAGTAGCGGTTGGTAATCCAGTTCCGGTTAATGAGTATAAACCAGTCGATGGACGTGAATATCCACTTGGAACAGAAGTTGGTGTTGCTAAGCAAGTAATTTCGCATGAATAATACGTTGCGTTTTCTCTCATAGCGATATACACAACGTTATTACCTTGAGAATCAATCAAGTATGCACCAATGCTAACTAACTGAGACTGAATGTAGTTTGATATATCTGCATACGAATAGTACCCATTCGGAAGCGTGATCGAAACAGTTTGATAAGTAGCTGCGGTTGGAACTAAAACGCTGAACGTGTTGTTGCTGTATAAACTTCCATTAATGTTGAATTGAGAGTTGTAAATCTGCAGGCTCGACAGAGCAAATTCTTGATTTTTGAAATTCACGCTTGATCCAGTAAAGTTGAATCTGAATGTATTATTCAAGCCATTGGAAACAATGTTATTACGATTAAAAATGATAGTGCTCGTCATCGTTCTAATATTCGATCTGTAGGAATTGAAGATTGCAGAGTAAACTTTGTTTACGGTTATATTCGATGAGAGAAATTAATTAAAAACTTCACCTTTGAAATTCTTCCGAATTCGTTGCTTTACAGAGTCTATAAACAACATCTGTCCCTTTTCAGATGTTGCTTGTTTGTAATACCTGTAGATATCATCTTCACTTACTCCAGGTAGATTGAAATCTTTCAAAATTAGCTGTAGATCGCGTTTTGAATTTGCTTTTAGAATAGCAATGTATTCAGAATTCAATCTAATCATCTTGTCAGTAGCAAAATAGCTATGAGCTATGAAGATTGTTGAAAGTCCTTTGTGTCTTCCTCGAGTAAAGAAATGACTGAATAAATCTCTCTGTAGCTTTTTATCGTTGGAATAATCATCAATAATAACAAGTTGTAAAGCATTTGGAATCTCTTTGATAGCATCAACACTTGGAGGGGCATCGGGATCATAAAACGTTACAAAACCTTGTAGTTTCTCTTTGATGTAATCGTATAACTCTTGGTCAGGATTGCGTGCTATGACATGAAGGTGACTATAGACGTGTGGAGACTCTTTAAGTATATGAAAAGCTAGATTTGATTTACCAGAGAAGCTTGGGCCTAAAACTATCATTCGGAAAAGCTTCTGGATACCAAGCTTTTCGTTTACTCCAAACGATTTCTTCTTAAACTCCTTTGGGAGCATTCCACCAAAATCAGGAATTGAACTCATCTTGTATGACAAATCTATCTGTTATATTATATAAAGGATCGTTTTACAAAATGCTACCACCTAATTATATTCCATCCTTATACAATCCATCAGACTATATCGGCTTATTGGATTACTTGACTATTAGTATTGGCGATTTGCGATATAACAAAAGAAATGGGGTGAATTACACTTCGGATTTGTACATCACTGGAAATATCTATCAAAATGGAACAATGATTGATTTGAGTGTGCTGTCAGGTATTACACCAGGAACAGCTTCCGCTGGGAAATTGATTGCGGTTGACTCTAACAGAGACATCGCGAACATTAATAATCTCTCAGCATCACAATTAACAGGAACGCTTCAAACACCTGCACAACCTAACATTACATCATTGGGAACAATTTCATCAACACTCACTATTAGTGGATCTACTCCTATAACTTGTAATAACTCCCTGTCCAGTAGCACATGCTCATTATCTGTTGATTCTGTATCTGGAGATCAGACATTTGGCAGTACAACAGCGAATAAGTTTCATTTGAGAACAAATGGGAATAGAAAAATAACGATAGGATCCACTGGATTAGTAGGCATTAATAATACATCTCCAGCTAAACAATTAGATATTATCGGATCGACAGCATTAACAAACTCATTGTATCAAATCACTGATGGAACAGTAATTTATCAGCAGTGGTTCGATGGGACTCAATGTTGTCTCCAAACGTTTTCAAATCATCCATTGACTTTTGCATCAAATAATGGATCTGTGCAAATGTCAATATTAACGAATGGAAATGTAGCTGTTAATAACACATTGACAGCTACGAATATATCCGCTTCAACTTTATATGGAACCCTTCAAACAGCTGCTCAGCCCAATATTACATCGATTGGAACTTTAGCGACTCTTACGGCTACATCAATTACTGGAACACTTCAAACAGCTGCTCAGCCAAATATTACCTCAGTTGGAACTTTAACATCATTGAATACGACAGGATTAATAACCGCTACTTTAACTGCTAATGGGCAATCGTTTAGATCTATAAATGGTACTTCAACATGTGCTCTGTTTCATTTTAACAATGGGGATGCTTATTTTGGAACATCTACAGCAAACAATTTAGTCTTTCAAACAAGTAATACAGGAAGAATGACAATTAGTTCATCAGGTGCAGTATCTGGAATTTCATCGCTAAGTGCTACAACATTAACCGGAACTCTGTCTACAGCTGCACAACCAAACATTGCTTCCACTGGAGATTTAACATTACCGAGTTCGCTCGCGATAACGAATGGAACGACTCCACTTTCAATCAGTAATACAACCTCAACGAGTACCTTTCGCTTAACCATTCAAAATAGTGGTGGTGCTCAAGATATTGGCTCTTTTACAAGCCATAGTTTCTTTTTAAATTCAAACAATACAAGACGATTACAATGCGATACTTCTGGTAATGTAGATATTTTAAATCATAATGCATCTACTATTGGATTAAAGCTTGGTGGAACATTAATTACATCGTCGGCTACTGAATTAAACTTTTTATCTGGAGCGACCGCTGGGACGGCAATTGCAAGTAAAGCTCTTGTGGTTGATTCAAACAGAAACATCACGAATATTGCAAAAGTAAATTTAACGAGCTCTGATGCTACAACGACTACCGGAACTACTAATGCAAGTGCTTTTGGATTAAATATACTGGCTACAACTAATGCAAATGGTCAATATAACGCTGCAGGAATAGCTTTTAGAAACGCTCTTAGCGATGGCATGCCTCATGGAGTAATTTTATGTCAAAGAACAGCAGCTGCGGCTGGCGATCTAGTGTTTCTGACTCAATCAGCGACCAATAATTTATCAGAGACTTTACGTTGTTTATCAACTGGAGCTATTGCTGTTAATGCTACAGCCAACGCTGGAATTACTTGTTTTGGTTCCGCAAACTATGTTGATGGTTCATACCAGAAAGTATTAGATTTGCAATCAAACAATGTGTCTCCAATAGATTTTTGTATTGAAATTAACTCTGGAGCAAATACAACTACCACAAATGCTACTTGGATGGGCAATTTGACTAATAATGACTTGCGATTCGGAGTCAATAACTCAACTAAAATGATTCTTGATACAAATGGACGACTGGGAATAGGTACAACAACACCAAGTACAACTCTACACGTTAGTGGAACCATTTCGAATACATTTAATGTTGGTGGTCAGTTATATGCCCAAGGAACAAGCACAGCTTATACAACAAGTCAATTGGGTCCAGTTACAGTTAGCGTTGCTGCTATGTTTGGTGGTCCTATTCAATGTTCGTCGATTTATTGTACATCGGATCGTAGATGTAAGGACATTATCGACCAATTAGACACTGATTATTGCGATAAATTCTATGATCTAAATGTTTATGAATACAAATACAAAGGGTCAGATGAAACAATTCCAAAAATTGGTTTCATTAGTCAAGATTTGTATGCAGCTGGATACATAAAATTACTCTCAATGACACCAAATGAAAATCTGAAGAAAGTGGATGAAAACGACATTGAAGGATATCAGATGAACATTGATTATAGTAAAATTACAGCGATCAACTTCTGTATGATAAAAAAATTACTCAATCGTGTGAAGCAG